ATTTCCACTGATGGCAGGTATCCAAGCCTTTGAATCTCTTGTTGATTCTAAAAAAATGTTACTGATAATTTTGCTTTTGAAATTGAAGAATAAGGTTTATCACACTTGAAAGTTTTTATAATATGATACAATTTTTGTGAGTGAAAATTACCACTTATGTTTCTATAGCTATTTATACCTATCTATGCTACCAGAACTCCACACCTAAAATAATGTTAATATAATTTTTGTCTTTGTTGTACCATGTCATCAACACAGGAAAGAAATACAAAGATTATTTTTTTTAAAAGAAAACAACCTTCGTAGGGCACAAAAACCTCCTATGCTAAAATGCATTCCTTCAGATTTAGAGACTTATTTTTTTCATGAGGAAACAAAATGATGGCACTCAGAAAAGGATAAGATGAGGAAAATTTACAGCAATGAAAAAATCCCAATAGAGACAGTGCTGTGATTCTACCAGTTTAATTTGAATGTGAAATAGATGCATTTTTCACTCACTTTGAATGACGTGCATTCTGTCAGCACACCAATGCTGACAGAAGTTGGCTTTCACTCCTAGAAAAAGAAACTAACAGGCTCAATTTTGTCTTGGTAGATCACTTATTCTCTCTATGTACAGTTAATTTCTTCATTTAATAGCTCCAACTGTAATATATTTATACTCCAGCTGAAACACATATCATGAGAAGTACTAGTCTTTCCCTATTAGCAAAGCAGAAAATGTCATCTGTGTGCATTAATCTCATTACGAAGAAACAGAATAAAAGTTGTCTTCTTTTGAATATTTTATCTTATAATTTGAAATATTTTTAGTGAGTTTTAAAAAATAGTAGATTCTATGGCAGTAAGATTTAAATTTATCTTATATATAGCTTAAGCATCTGAGTTTTAAAACAAGTCTAGCCTTTCTTTGCAAATAAGATGAAAATTGAAGAATTTTGAATGTTTTCATTTAAAGATAATATAATTAGTAGATTCTTGAGAGGAATCTCATGGTGGTCTCTATCCAAATTGTCGGTGTAAAATAAATGCTCTGAAGAGTTTATAAATAACTAAAAGGAATAGGAGTTGGAACATACTTAATAAGTTTAATGGCAGTTAAATGATGATAATCTGTAAGTTAGGAAAAAACCCATTCTATTATGTTTTGTACTGTGACAAGAGGACAAGGCAAAAAAGGACAGGCTACACTGTGTTTTTGGTGGTTTTATCTGAGGAATCAAGTCAGCAGTAGGTGCTGAAAACTGTAAGGGGAGGGTGGCCACTGCCCCTTGTTAACTCCTGCCTGACTCACATTGATGTCATCAGATGAGATTGACACATTCACTACATTTTCCAAGTGATGAAAATGTCAGCAAACCCAAAGTTATGGTTCCCCCAACAACTATAACCTGGCCACCTTGCACAGAATTATTTAGGAAGAAAAGTTAGAAACTGAAAAGTAGTATAAACCCGCAGTTACACTGAGTTTGTCCGTGTCTACACAGGCAAAGCAAGTATCAATAATCAAGCAACCAAGCTGTGTAATTCAGTTAAAAATTAACCCTTACCTGAAGTAACCATAAGAGCACAGGTATTTTTGTTTGGATTAAATTGTGTGGATAATTAGTTCAATATTTTGTTTTGCATATGTAGATATAAAAAGTGATCTAAATTTCAGGACATATGATATTTTTAATTAAATTGGTATGCTTTTCTATATATCATAAAGATTTATTTAATCAATAAAGAATATTCAAACAAGGAAATCAGCCTAAATTTATACTTACTCTCACAATACATTTATAAAGGTATACACACTGGGAATCTAAGTTCATTTTATCTTTTATATCAAGAGAACTACCATTTAGAAGCTGGTTCTAAATGTAGTCATACTAATAAAAAGCAGAGATTGGAACAAACATGTCAATGTTCCCTTTATTTATGCAGATTTAAGTTAAGAAATAAATAGGAAATAGTTCAATCTGGGGGAATAAGAAACTGCATATCCTTCTTAAAAGTATCAGAATTTAATTAGAAACTTTAAAAACATAGCCAAATGGATAAAGCATCAAGACAAATAAAGTCAGCCTTCTGTATCCTGGGGTTCTACATCCACAGATTCAACCAACCATAAATGGAAAATATTTTAAAGCAATTACTTCTATTACTGAACATGTACAGACTTATTTTATTAACAATGCAGTATAACAGCTATTTACATAATGCTTACATCATGCAAGTATTATAAACAGTCTGGAGATGAGTTAAAGTATGTCAGAGGATATGGGTAGTTATATGCAAACACTACCCAATTTCATACAAGGGACATGGACATCCCTGGATTTTGGTATCTGTGGGGGCTCCTTTAACCAATCTCCTGACAAATACCCAGGGACAACTATATAGGCCCAGGGCAAAGGCCATTAAGAAACTGCAGCACAAGATTTAAAAAAAAAAAAAAAGAAGAAGGAGAAGCTGCAACACAATGTGCAGCAGTACAGGATGATGTCACCTCTGCCATTTGAGCCACAGCTGGCGTGTGGCTTCTGTCAGGGTAGACAATGGCTGCATGTGACCACAGTGGATTCATTTCCAGTTTCACTCAGATTTTTGAGGCACTCACTTTGGGCTAACAGGACCCTGAGTATTTTAGGACTTACTAAGGGCAGAAGGCCCATATGAAGATTCATGCCATTTCTTTTAAATGTTAAGAAAAAATTCATATTATTATTATTACTATCATTATTATTATTATTTTAAGCACCAGGGATGTAGCAATTACTTGAACAGAAACAAAAAGAAATCTTTGTTAGTCCTAGCAGGAAAAAAAATCCTTTGACATTCAGCATTATGAGGCTAGTCAAAATATCCCCTCAGCTCCACTTTATTATACGCACATTTTTCTCCCAGAAGTAGTTGTCATGAGTATGTTTACCTCAACTCATATTTCATCTTAATAAATGTTTCTTTCTTTCTTTCTTACTTAGATTTAGACTTCTCACTCAAGATTCCATAAGGGAATCAATAAAATTCAAAAGTAAGTTTCTGGTCTTTGTACTAATTCTTTGTGAAATTTTTGTTTCTTCTGCAAATAAACAAAATGAGCTTTCTGAGACTTATTCTATGTTTTTGCTGAATATCTCCTGGCTAAAACTCAGGTTCAGGAATGTTAAATAGTCAGGCTTTATTTATTTTGGAAATCATTATAGTTGAGGCACTTAGAGTTCCTGGGTCATAGAAACTTTCTTTTCTAAATGGTGTTCTTGGGCACAAATGGTGATCCTGCAGTTAACTGTGATAGCAAGCATTTGTGTGAAAATCACAGTCCTGTCAGGGATGGGAGCAGGCTTCTCCACTAGCCTGTGAACTCTGAGAAGGCAGGGAATATTTGTGCTCCTTATTATATGACTCAGTGTATAATAAGAAAAACTGAATTATTAAATAAATAAATTTTTACCACTGAAGGGATAATCATATATGGATGACCAAATTAAGGCAACGATGGATCAAAAGAGTTGAGAATAGTATGATAACCATGACATTTACATTGAGCAATAAGAATCTGCTAACAAATGACCATTTTTGACTTACAAATGTGGCAGTTTCATGTGTTTATTCTGTTGCTTGATTGGATTTATATCCTGCCTCTTTCCAAAGAATTTTACAATTATCTATTATATTTTCCCACCAAAATCCTTAAAACGGACAGGAAAATGTTCCTAAATTTTGCTCATTCCTCTAAAGAGCATAACACTACAGTTAATATATTCCCAAGGCAATGAGAAATTAAATAACCAATCTTGGATTAAGTTAACAATATCTTTCACTTAAGTGTTTGGGTATCTACTAAGTGGTAGGGACTATGCAAGGGACTGAGATGAGCGAAGTTGTAGACAGAGCTCCAGCCTTGTGGTAGATTTGGCAATGTAATAAGGTGCGGAGACAAGTAGCCATGTAGTGCACTGCAAAAGGGATGTGCTATGGAAATATAATAAAAGGAAGATGTTTGAGACCTGTGAGAGAGTGGGCAGGTGGTCTTCCTGGAGGAAGAAATTTCTAGGGCAAAATTGGAAGAAGGTTCTAGTCAGGCAACGGGAAAATGCAGCACTAGGGAGAAGCTATGAGGGCCAGTGTTGCATGTTGGAGGTACTGAATATTATACAAATGTAACTGGAACCCAGACACCTGGGTAAGGAAGGGATGGTAGACAAGACTAGAGTTGTAACAGGGTTCAGAACATGACTACTCAGTGGTGGGTCTAGGAACATAACCAACTTTATAAAAAGTTACTGAAAAATATGATATGAAAGTTTTTATAAAATAGTATTCATACTTTTTTGAAATTTGATTACATTGCTTAGTCCAACATAGATTTCGAAGCCATTTATTACCACCAAATCACCTTATTCTGTGGAAAACAAAAGCCTAGAGAAGTTGGGTGATTTTTCCTGAGGTCATGAATGTAGTTCTCTAGCACAGAGTGAAACAGAGCCAGATCTCCTTGCTCTACCACTCAGTATGCTTTTCTGACATTGCCTATTTGCCCATTTGTTGACCTCTGAAACTGAAAATTAAATTCTTTCAAGTCTCAATCCTAGTAACGCAATAATTTTTTTTTTGCAAACTGAACCAATGACTTACAACCAATTACTTCCCAGAAACAGCAAGCATTTACAAGAGCCCAGTAATTTCCACAGTTTTGCATATGTTCCAGATTTCTAAATTCTATATTAAGTTTCATGTCTGGATAGAGCTGCAACAAAGGCAATAGGTTAAGTCTCAAACATCTACAGGTTTGACTTCAAAGGCTTACGTTAAGCATGCAGTTAAGATGGCAAACATTAAACACGCTGACTGTTACAGTTCAATGATTAATACCACAGATAATAGCCAAACATATTCTATTGCATAACTGATAACAAGCTCACACAATGAAGACACTAAGATACTTTGAACTATTCAACGTGCCCCAAACTAAATGCCAGCATTTGTTTTTATAGTTTTTGTAATCTCACCTGCTAAGACCCTTATCTTCATAAAACCACTGAGTTCCTGAATAAATATTGTGCCACAGATTTAAATCTTCCGGGGGATTTGAAGCAAGTGGTTGCTGGGTTTTATGTCTCAGAAGCTCATATCTAAAGCAAAAGACAAGCCGGAACATCAGGATTCTCTGAACTAATGTTACTACCAGAACTCAGGTTAGCCTGTGGTACGTGTCTATGATGCATGCATGAAAACATAAACAACAACATCTTAAGTTTGCTATGATGAAGTTGTTTTCAGTTAAACAGTTTTTTTTTCTGGCTCAAGTGTTATATGTTCAACTAATTTATAACTATCAGCTATATTCACATCTTATTATTGCCAGCAAGAATGGTTAAGATTTGGGATTTCTTCTATGTCAGGTTTGCCAAATCTTTATTGTTAGTGTCACACAAAGTAGAAATACAAAAAGTTTACCAAGTTAATGATTTCCTAAGACTTCTACCATCAATGCTTCATAAACAATGATAATATTATTAACTCCATATTGTTGGCCAAGTATCAAGTTCAGGTTGGTACCAAGTCATTTTAGAATCACAAGTATTGTCTTTCATCTTGTTTATATCCCTAACCACATTCTGTATAGGTTCCAGATAATCCTAATGTCCCAAAGTATTACAGTGTTGGCTTTATCATTTGGAGACATACTTATTGAACTCTGTTATTTAGATCATGCATCAGAGTTGCTTAGCTAAGAATAAAAATATACTTTGAAAATCAAGAGGATTATGAGAGAATACTTTGTGAAAAATGACTGTTGTTTCAGTGTTTGTGGTTTTCTCAATATTATGAGGATATTTTTACCTTGATGAACTTTTACGGTTTCATGTAAGTCAAGATATACAATACAGTATTACAGGGGAGAGGAGAATGTAATCCAATAAGGAATTAGTTCTCTGTTCAGATGTGAGTCAAAGCTTCCTTCCCTACTTCCTGGAGAGATAAGCCTACAGAACACCCAAACAGTCACTTTCTCTTACCTCAAGTTAGGTCCATTTGGCTTAGATGGTGGTTGCCAAGAATTTCCAACATATGATTTGCTTAGCAGAATCACTGACAATGGGCTGACCTCCTGCGGTAATGTGGGGTGGGTGGTAACATAGATAAGTAAATCCTCCGTGCACCCTCCGAGGTATGAGTTACTCCCCGAGCAAGCAGCAATGGTGATAGAATAATTAGTGAAAGGAATCAGAGGAGCAATTATTTGACTCAAGGCTGAGGCAGTTACATTGGTTATTGTGATGTGAGGGTCAGGCAAGCGGATCTCATAGCTCAGTATGTCTCCGTTTGGGATAAGTAGGGGTTTCCAAGTGATCTGAAGTAAAAGATAAACTTAGAATCAGTATGACAATACAAGAACAGAGCAACTGCAGTTCACAGGCCTAGAATTTCCCTCTGCCTCATTTGCAGTGAAGTCATTTTCTTAATGCCTACTTTCTACTTAGCCCTTTGCACTAGACAGTAATGAAGGGCTTGGGATCAATTAGCAGTACACCAGGAACCAATTGAAACGCTGTTTCCTGGCGTTGGCTTTTAGTCTTGATACTTTCTAGGACTGTCAGACTAATACACACCTTGGTGATTCATCTCCACTATGGGTGTTCTGAAGGACACAGAGAAAACACATGGAGAAAATTCACACATCCACATGCATCAATAGGGCAGCAGCAGGAATTGATAGTTTTCTTGTTTATAACTCAATTAAAGGAAACATCAGAGATCCTTGCTTTGCATTGTTAATATGCATATTTAAGTAACTTTTTGGGGGGTGTGGGGGAAAAAATCTTATCTGCACTTTCTGAAGTGCACAATTGAGTTTCTGAATCTTACTTGTGCATAATTTAGTAAGTAAAGCACTAACAACATTCTATTTTCAGGGATAATGTGCAGAAGGCAAGCAAAGAATGGTTCTGTTTGCATCAACTTGACCATCAAAAGAAAAGAACATTTTGTAATGGAATCTCATGATGTCTAAAGTTAATTTTCTTTTGGAGCTAATTTAACTAGAGCTTAGTGGCGACATGCTCTTTTTATGGAAGAAAAAAGACCTTAAAACATGCAAAGGCCATTGAAAATTACTTATTTACATGTTATCTTATTTCATCTCTTCTATTGTGGCCTTGTAGCATTCCTTATAGAAATATAGACCTAAGGTAACATTAGGTTAGCAGGGCCCAAGTTGTATATTTTTCTTAGCACTATGAACACACAGGTGGAGTTCAGTAAATAATTATAGTCATAGCATGTTAGATTATATATTTTCTTCCTTAATACATACTTATTTTGAAACCATAAGAGACAGATATTAACAGGATGATGTATTCATATCTATATTGGTAGTTGCACACAAAATCAAAATCAGAAAGAAATGAACTTTTAAATAGAATTATAGCTTCCTGAAGGAAACAGTTTATTCAGAGATGGCTTCCCTATCAAAATGATTTATTTTAGTGTCACTTAACTGTTCAGATTTTAATTGTTTTATTTAGTTATTACAAATTTTTAGAAAGGAATAGAAAAACTAAACCAGAGTAGAACTGACCAAAATTTCCATCTTAAATCAAAGAGAAAATTTCTTCCAGAAGGAACATGACCTGAGATTTTCATGATAACACTCTCACTTATGATTGGTGACAAAATGGGCTCCCACATCATGATGGTTAGGCAGTTGTCTAATGATGAGTATGGAAATTTATAATAACAATGGACAAATAGCTACACAAATTTTGCTACCCAAGGCCTGAAAACACTGTTAATCTCCTTGGAGAAGTCTAAAAGAGATGCTAGGATGAAGAGAGGCTGACAAAGAACACAGAGAATTTGTTTGGGTGCAGAAAAGATAAAAAAAACTGGAAGCAACTAGAACAGACAGACATAGAGTTCTATTTGGTTTTGAAAGTATCATCTGAGATTGTGAAAAATGAGTCAAGGTCAAACTCAATGAGATTCCTAGCACTTGTAACACAAATGGAAAAAAAGAAGGACTATTGCACTAAATTCAACCAGACTATCTTAGGAATTTATGACTTCCTTAACTTCTCGAATCAGAATATTCTAAGAATTCATGTCAGGAAACTCTTGAAGGAAAACTCAGGGGACAGACTGTATTAGTAGTTGAACTAACAGTGAATTGACTTGGAACTTGGTACTTAAGCTGAGAAAAATGTTCCAAAGATAAAATTTGAATGAAATATTCACCAACAAAGATTTAGAGAGTTGACATAATAGCTCTGCAGATGGTATTTGAAGATTTAAAAATCCCTATTTTCTCTATCATAAATGTTTACATTCAGAAATTAGCTATTTTTCCCATTTTTTAAAAAGTTGCAAACTTTGAAAAATATACCTTTTGACTGTAGTAAATTTGAATGTAGTTCTATAGAAAAATTTTAGAAGGGCTATATAAAACATTTCATAGCAATGTGGAGAAAAACATTATTATAGACAGTAGGCTAACAGGAGTGGTATTGAATCTGATCTCCTCCTGAAAACATGCTGGAGCCGTCACTACAAATAAATGTGCCTAAGCTTTATAAGGAGTGAGTTAGCTAAATATTGGAGTCTGTTCTTTCCTATGCTTAAGACCATACAGTGTGTCAAAAACTTAAAACTTTCAAGTTTTAATCTTCTTTTGATCATTCCTATGATCTTCTATGTGTCAATTATACATAGGAAGCGTTATAATTATAAATTATAAACACTGTTGCATCCTTATAAAAATCACATTCTTGCCCTGAACAAGCAAGAGATGAATGAGCTAAAGCAATAATTTTATTTTGAAATTTTGTTTGAAAACAGTTGAAACTTTGAAATGTTTGGAAACACTTGAAAATTTTCCAATGATCATTTCAGAGGTAGTTTGCCTATCAAAAATGATTTGAATAGTCATCATTAGAAACACCACCAACAACAGATGTTGGCGAGGATGTGGGGAAAAAGGAACCCTTGTACACTGCTGGTTGGAATACAAACTAGTGCAACCACTTTGGAAAAAAATTTGGAGGCTTTTTAAAAATCTGAACGGAGATCTGCCATATGATCCATCAATCCCACTTCTGGTGATATACCCAAAGGAATGTGACATAGGTTACTCCATTGGCACTTGCACACCCATGTGCACTATTCACAATAGCCAAGTTATGGAAACAGTCAAGATGCCCCACTACTGATGAATGGATTAAGAAAATGTGGTATTTATACACGATGGAATTCTACTCAGCCTTGAAGAAGAATGAAATCTTATCATTTGCAAGTAAATGGATGGAACTGGAGAACATAATCCTGAGTAAGGTTAGCCAGGCACAGAAGACCAATAATCAAATGTTTTCCCTTATATGTGAACTTTAGATCAAGGGCACACACAGCAAGGGGATTGGACTTTGGTTACATGATAAGGCAAGTGCACACAAGGGAGGTATAAGGATAGGTAAGAAACCCAAAAAACATGACAGTATTTGATGTCCTCAATGCAAAAGAACTAATGCAGAAACTTTAAAGTGACAGAGGCCAATAGGAGAAGGGGACCAGGAACTAGAGAAAAGGTCAGTTTGAGAAAAATCAACGTAGAATGTAACACATATGTACATGAAAGCAATGCTAGGAATCTCCCTGTATAACTAACCTTATCTCAACTAGCAAAAATGCTTTGTCCTTCTTAATATTGTTTATATTCTCTCTTCAACAAAATTAGAGATAAGGGCAGAACAGTCTCTGCCTGGAAACAAGAGGGTCGGGGGGAGAGGGAAGGAACAGGGGAAAGAGAGGGTGGTAGGGGGAAAGAGAGGGGGTGGGGGGAGAAAGAGAGGGAGTGGGGGGAAGGGGGGAGAAATGACCCAAACATTGTATGCACATATGAATAAAAGAAATAAAAAATTTAAAAATGATTTGAGTGACTCATGATTATTTAGATTTCATATTTTTTTTACTTATAAGTTTTCAGAAAAATAGGACAGATAGCTGATTAAATGTTTAGGGAGTCAGAAACTTCTGCCAAATCTTTCATACCCCTGAGAAGCAGTTCTTCAAAATCATGGCATTGTCAAACTTTTCTATTTTAAACAGAAACTACGACAGGTAGGTTACTTAATTGGCTCCAGGCCTGAAAAAGAGTACATAGAAGAAATGTAACCAAATTCCTTCTTTCTTTAATTCCATCAAACGCCACTTCAGAACTTTATAAATAAGAGTATTTATGAGGACTGATACATTGGTTAGGTGTGGTGGCTCAGGCCTCTCATCTCAGTACTTGGGAAGCTGAGGCAGGAGGATGGAGAGTTCAAGGCCAATCTGGATGACATCAGTGAGTTTGCATCCAACATGGGCCACAAAACATGTCTCAAAAAAAAAAAAAGAAAAGAAAGTAAAAAAATGAGATAGTGGACTGAGAATGAGCTAAGAATAAATTTCTCTGATATGTGGTCCAAGTCCTGTCCCAAGCTGTGTGACTTCAAGTGAAAACTTAAAATCTTTGTGCTTTAGTATCCTGAGGTCTAACATGAGGAGACAATCCTTGTCTGCATGTCTAGACATAGATTGTGTAATTCTAATAAAAAGGAGATAAAAATGTACCAGATAGTGACTTGAGCTATCTGAGATGAGTGAGGAACTGCAGGGAGAGTAGCAGAGAACTGCAGGTTTGCTCTCTTTTACTGTGCTTTAACTGAAGAAATGGGGGTGAGGGAAAGGACTTAAGGTATTTGGTCCTGACATCACCATAAAAGAGACTTTTCTGGGCATCACAATTACACAACTTAGTTCTTTCTGCCTTTTATTATCTGAGTCCTCGTTGTCCTAAGAGCTTCAGTGCAGCAATCTATGCACTGACTTTATTCTCTTTAAATAGCTCCTTCCAAATCTGATTTGACTTTGCATTTTTGTTATAAATAACTGCTGAATTTTACAAGTCCTTTTTTCTATATCTGTTGAAAAACTGTGGCCCTCATCTTTTAATTGTTTAACATTATAGGAAGCATATTGACAGATTGTTTGATGTTGAACCATCCTTATATTTTTGGAATCAAATCAAATTTGTCCTGGGATAGTATTCTTTTAATATACTGCTTAATTTCTGAGCAAGGTAAGCCAGGCTCAGAAGACCAAAAATCCTATGTTCTCCCTCATATGTGGACTTTAGATTTAGGGCAAATACAGCAATGTGTTTGGACTGGGACCACATGACAAGGGGAGAGCACATATGGGAGGTATGGAGATAGGTAGAAAACCCAGAACATGAAAGTGTTTGATGTCCCCACTCCAGAGGAACTAATACAGAAACCTTAAAGCAACAGAGGTCAACATGAGGAGGGGATCAGGAACCAGTGTAAAGATCAGTTAGAGATGAATCAACTTGGGTTGTAACACATTTGTACATGAAAGCAATGCTAGGAATTGCTCTGTATATCGATAGTTACTTAATTGGCTCCAGGCCTGAAAAACAGTACATAGAAGAAATGTAACCAAATTCCTTCTTTCTTTAATTCCATCAAACGCCACTAGCAAAAACACTCTGTCTTCCTTATTATGCTATGTCTTCTCTTCAACAAAATTAGAGATAAAGGCAGAATAGTTTCCGTCTGGAACCATGGGGGTGTGGGGGGGAGGGGGAAGAAGGGGGTAGGGGGGAGAAATGACCCAAACAATGTATGCACATGTGACTAAATGAATAATAAAAATTTAAAAAAAAAAAGAAACCAGATCTCAAAATCAGAAAAAAAATTGCTGATATTACATTTACAAGTTTTAGATCTATATTTATTTTTGAATTATCAGTTTTAGTCATGGTAGAACATTTTTTACCAACTCTAAAAAATGAAATGATTTTCTCAGGAAATTAAATACCAAATAAAAGTGCAAGGCTTTCATTTTTTTACATGTCAAAATTTCTTTGAGGTTATATATTTGTTTTCCTTGTAATCAGATTTTAAGAATGTGATTTTAATGTACCATTGTGCTCTAATTTTCCCTCTTTGATACTTACAGTTATGACAAGTCATAGCACCTCTTTTTATACTTACTATTATGTTTACTATTATGTTACTTTTTGTTTTCTAGTTGACTCAAATTTGTAAATTTGTGTAATTTCCCTTGCTTTCTCTGTTGGACTGTAATTCTTACAAGAATTACAGAATATAATGTAAAGAACACATGACATAAAAGTGAGAAGAACTAGGGTGGTTCTATGGTTTGGATATGGTTTGTCCTCTGGAAAACTCGTGTTGAAGTGGATTAGACTTCACTGTGAGATATGAAGGTGGTGTTTGGAGGTAGAACTTAGCGGATGTTATTAGACCAAATAAGGTCTACATTCTGGTGGCATTATAAGAGGACTGGGGTGCGGATTAAGGGGTAAAGCACTTGCCTCAGCAAGTGCAAGGCCCTAAATTCAATCTCCAGTACCCTAAAAAACAAACAAAAAAAAGTAGAGGGAGACATATGTAATCCATATGCTTCCTACCTCTCATCACATGATGCTATGCATTGGCTTGGGACTCTGCCAGCAGGAAGTCCATCACCAGATGTGTGGCTCCTCAACCTTGGACCTCAAGAGCCACGGGCCAAAATAACCTTTAAACCTTACATAGCCGTTGTGCTAGGAAAAGAACATGGACCAGGCCAAGTGAAATGCCAGCTCTGCTTACTTGTAACTTGCCACACTCTCAGCTGGGGTTTCCTATTCTTCTTAACTTGATTTGCTTTCTTCCCCCAAGTGCTTGCCACTTCTGGGAATTTTATTTATGTGTTTGTTTGCATTCCATCAAAGATGCCTAGGGACTTTTTTTTTTTTGATCTCTACTTTCTCCTCCGCGGCTAAGAGGCATTCAAAGGATGTGTTGATGTTCAATAAATACTACTATATTGATAACATTATTAAAATTTTTCTTCATTTTAATACTTGGATCCATTCTACATGGTAAATATTGAATGACTTTCTTAACCAGCA